GTGATAATGGAGATAACTATTTTGGAAGTAGGCAATTTTTTCTTTGTAACGCTGAAACTGTACATTCGATAAAAGCTACTTATCCAGTTGCTCCACATGCAGGGAACTCAAGTTTACAAGAGTCGGATGTGAGCAACATACTTGTTAAACGTAAAATTTCAATGAATTGAAGAATCGACTGCAACAAGCAATTAACATCAAATTGATTTATGCTTTTTCCCTAGTTCAATTTGCTCCAGTAGACCTTTATTTGCATCAGCGCCCTCCAGCTGCAGTAACTGCATTAACAGCACAACAACAGTAGAAGTACCGATGGCAACAGCAGACAACAGTAGAACAGATGAAACAGCTGCCTAAATATCAAGAGCACCAACCACCGCAGAGACAACAGCCACTTATTCTGCATTAGTAAACTGCGCAACAACAGCTACTTCATTACTGATTGCAACAGCAACGTCTGTAGCATCAGCTGCTACTGTAGCAACGTCTGTAGCATCAGCTGCCTCTGTAGCAACGTCTGTAGCATCAGCTGCTAATGTAGCAACGTCTGTAGCATCAGCACCACCAACAATGAAAAGGAGCACCCAAGCATCTTCTTTTTTTAGTGGGCAGCGCTGGTAATTAGTTTAGTGTCCCCACGAGACGAATGGCCGGCAATGTAGCGAGGAAGCCTCTTGCCCAGCTGCCCTGAGCACAAATTGAATTTTGAGACGCAGCGAGAGGCGACGCGTCGTCCAGTTTTGTTCAATGAAAACTTTTTGAAACTTCATGCCTAAGTCGTCTGGAAATTCCTGTGCATGTGGCGATTCAGTGATAAGCCGACAACTCTTCATTTGTAATATAAACTGTGAAGAACTCCTGGTATAATAAGTATCTGAAAAGTCGTTGTGAAGAGCGGAAGGAAGTTTGTGTTTACGGGAATGATAGATAAAATAGGTAGATATTTACGCAAGTTCAAAGTGTAAGTGTAGAAAATATCTGACGAATGGAGCGTCAATGATAAAAGAGAGAGAAGGAGAGACGAACAAATAGACAGAGCGCTGAGAATATTAAAGGTGAAGTAAAAGAATTAAAATTACACGCTAAGCGAATAATGGAATCTAAAGACAATGCAACATGATGGAGTACAAATGAAGTACAAATGAAAAAGCTGATGAAGCAATGTATTTGTGGAGGTGCAGAAGAAGTAATATAGATGACGAAGTGCTGGTGAAGAAGTATATACATATAAATAAAAGAACGTTGAAGCGCTACTAAATGAGGCGTTAGTAATGACAGAATTCAATATTAGGGGCTTACGTATAACGGAGTGAGCATTTACTGGAGGCATGCTACACAGTGAGCATACAGGAAGCATGCTAAAGAGTCATGCTACTTATTACTGAGTGCATACTGTAGAGTTCAGGGCAAAACAATGGCAGGCTGTGATGCTCCCATCTCTAGTCTATCTGCTTTAGGGTGAGTGGCATTTGCTGCAGAATATCTGAAGGCTGTGTATAATAGAAAGTGTCTGTACCGGCCACGTATTCCAGCAAGTGTCATGCAAGTGTTCTGTCATGTGTCATAAGTGTCTACTCATGCCACGTATCCCTACAAGTGTCTGCCCATGCCGTCCAACCAACACTTCTCCGATGCTCTCTCATCTCCTTAATTTTTACATACACGAAGAAATATCCATGATATCAGCAGGCATCTTAGCAACGCCTTTGTCGCACATTAGCAAATTTTCTTCAAGTGGCGATGTAAATGTAAATGCGAGGACGATCACACCCAAATTTTCATCTGAGTTCAGATGAGTTACAAAACATAAAACTTATGCAAAATATCGCCTTAATACGATAATTGCTGTAACTGGAAACAAAGTTTGAAGTTAAGGTATTAATTAGCAGCTCAAAGTTCGACAATATGAAACTTTACTTTTTTCTGCATTAAGTCCTTTGCTAGACTGAAGTATTTTAGTATAATCCTTATTATTTTTTTCAGCCTCATAATATTCATTAGATATTATATGTTAGGAACAGGCATCATTATATGTAGTTACGAATCTCTAACTCATTAATTAAGACAGGAAAAATGTCAGAACGGAAAAAAATCAGAACAAAATGCTTCCATTAAGGCATTATCATGACATTACGAAACTCGCGTCTACGTGTGTAATTTATTGCTCTTAACTGTTCGGGTTCGAAACGAAATTAGATGAAAACGTTATTATTTTAAGCGTGAAATACACCAACTTGCATTATTATAACTAGAGGCTCATGTAAAGTAATGACATCAGTTATTTATGTGTCACGTGTTCCATTAAAAATGCAAGTTTTACAGTATTTTTGACACAATCATTTTACCATTTGTAATTACAAGGCTATGTTTTTCTTTCGTTTAATTCTATTCATCAGCATCAATAGTGTCACTTAAACACTAATTCATTATTTTTCTCCATAGCGCAAGCTGATTAATTGTTAATAACACATTAAATCTCTGTCACAAATTATCAAACAACATGTAAAAATTAATAGTTAAAGATGAAAGTTTTCCTAAAGTAGACGTGAAGAATCAAATCGTGTCATGATAAGCTTCTCAGTTTTACTTAAACTCCCTCCAATCTAATTTATATAAATGTCTTGTTTATGAATGATCTGGTTCTATAAACTACCTTCAGCGATTCACAAAACAACTATAGAAAAATGCATCATTGCATGCTCACTCCATTTTAATTTTTATATAATGATTTTCATCTTGTGCCCATTTTATGATATTTGTCATGATTACAGTCTATGCTGCGAATGTCATGGTTCCATCATAAATTAGCCCAAAACATGAAGTATGTAATTTTTTATTACTATGTATATAGTATTTTCTCTGATTAAAAATGTCAGCCGCTGTATCCATAGCCGCGCTCATATTTTATAAAGCACAAGCTAGACTGAAAATGACAGCAATCACTCGAATAAATTTCCGCAAAAAAAACTCTTTTTCCGCATAACATCTTTCTTGACAAGCCTCGGCTTCAAATTAAATCTGTCGCTTCCCAGCATCCGCTAAAAAATAGTTGATGAAACCTTGATTTGTCCACTAATGTGTGTTACAGCCCACGGCCGCGCTCGGCTTATCGCGCATTACACTCGGAAATTGAGGCGCTCACGCGTCAATTTTTCACCGAGTGACAGAGGCTCAGGATCATCAATTATTGTGCGCCGTGCGCAGCCGGCGGCTGATCGAAGGCCAGCTCACTGATCTCAACGCCCTTCCTACTCAAACTCTGACACGAAAGATTTAATCGTTCAAAAAATCCATGATTTAATCTGATACAAAAATCCAAATAATCCCTTCGATGGACTCAAAGCAAACCCGTTCGTCACTGACACATTTACCGTCGTAAGTGCTATTCGTACCTAGTGGCTTGGGTCCGAGAAGTCCCGTTAGTCACGAAAGGGTTAAGATGTAGCTAGGCTACTAGACGGCCATGGGTCAAGTAAGACAGCTCCGTGTATTATAGACGCATGATTTATTCAGGGTCTTTCAAACTTTTTCAACGAAATATGTGGTGCAGGATGGTCAGTCTCATGAAAATTGTTACCATTTTTATTTGAAATTTTAAATTTAATGAATAATAGATTAACAAATTTTCATTGTTGGAGTCCAGTGAGAGTTCCGAACACTGTCATCCTTTTTGAAAGTGGGACACGATCAAATTACGACAAATTTTAAACTATTGCTGTATTGACTTTGTTGAAGAGCATTGCAAGTTGCTCTGTAGATTAAATAACGAGCGCATATTTCGCATCGGATAAACAAATTTTCTACAAGTAGCGTCATAGCCAGAAAATGGCCTTAAATTATTTTGATTAAAGGATTGCAAAGATTGAGAAAGAGAGAGGAGAGTACTTGACGCTCATACTAGGATAAGATAGTTCCTGTTACAGGAAATAGGCCTACAGTAGCAACTTGTATTTATTATTGAGATTAACAGAAAACCAGTCAAAATGATTACCAACGATTATTTAGCCCGAAAAACAATGTAGATAAGCCAATCGGAAAGAATTGTATCGTGATTTAAAATATTTACACTTATTTAAACTTATTTATACTTATGCATCAGGTTTCACTTGATCAAAATGGTATGAACAGCTAGAATTGAAGACCTGCGCTCTTGTTGTACTTGTACATAATTAAAATTAAAACAACTAATTATATCATGCGCCATTTTTAGACTAAATGTTATTTATTTACTAAATAAATAGATAAATTACATTTTTATTTACTAAATTTTATTTATTTTTAATTCGTTTAGACTAAATTAAAGTAAAATTCAATAGCATTCAGTTGTGAGGCAGGTTAACGTCAATTACGCAGCTGTTAAGCAGCCAGATAAAAGAATAATATTTTAGACAAACAAAAGACAATGTTTTAGAAATTATGTGTTGAGCTGGTAATGCTGTCAGAGATATTCTGTGTTGGTAGGCTAATAATAAATTATATTTTTAGTTTTGACAATTATATGATGTTTTCCTGATGGAAAAAATTATGTTTTGTACTGGTAATGCTGACAGCGATTTATCGTTGTTCTGGTTATGCTGATAAGGATAGTTGATGATGATAATATTGCGGTATTTAATATTGGCAAATTCTAGCTAATGATCAAAGATCATATACACATATTCGTAATAATTTGTAAAATAAAAATGAAAGGAACATTCACAGCAAATTTATTCAATGTGGATGTGAAGAAAATCTAAGGATATTACTTCGAAAATTTAATTTACATTCTGCGCTGTATTTTTCAGGTATTGAACTACCAGCAAATGATCAGAGTTAAGTTAAATGCAATCACTTTTGAGTATCAAGAAAATTCTTTTCTGTATATACATCTTTGACTGCTTATATGCGAAGAAAACATTACCCTGATATTGATGACAACCATAATCGAAGCAAAGTGCTATAATAAAGCATAAACTTAAACTTGGACATTCGTTTTAGGTATTAATGTAGTTGTGACTCACTTGCTACGTAGAGCCAGGCGTGTCGCAGCGCTCAGCTACATGGCAACGCAACACCCGAATGTGATTGACTCTTGAATTGACTTCATCAACATGGATTTCACGTCGTGTTGATATAACCTAAATCACTTCACCTCTGTCTTGTACGCCTATGCTAACTGTTATCCGGCAAAAAAGAGCAAGCAGCTCTTCGTTAAAATTAACTGGAGCGGTAGAGTCAGGGCGCAAAGCACACTTTGTCAGGGAGGACGGCAGGTTCGATGCGACGCTACCTCTCACTGCCGCGTCTGAGATGGCACTGACCGCCAAACTAAGCAGCACTCCAGTTCAGAGACCGCGTTCTTCAAAAGAAATTCTTCAAAGGAGATCCCGTGTGTGTCATTCCAATTTCTGTGACATTGACCGTGAATAAAGTCACTACGATATCGACGATGTTCGAAATTGTTAAAATGTAACAAAATATTCGTTCGTTGCTTATATAAATAAAAGATTGAACGTCATATGTTTCAAGCATTGAAGAACGAATGTTAGTCTTGATATAATCTATACGAAAACACTTGAGATACGTGCCATAAAATTTCAACTGTGGAGTTAGCAAAAGTCTTCGGACAGTAGAACCAGCATTCAATTTACCATCAATTTATGGCATTGGGTTTTTCCATGCCTTTAACCAGGCTCTTTTCAACCCCACATGTGAACTCAGATATTTCAACTCAACTACTAAGAATTTGAATTTATTATAGGTTTTTAATAGGACACGTACAAGTTTTCACTTTTATTTAAGTGATACGATGAAGCTAAAATAGTTATATTATGTTTTTATTATTTTCCGGAATTATGGATGATTATTATGGCTATTCGGTGAATATCATACTTAGCTTAAAAGTATGTAGGCTCTAAAAGTCTACTAATTTATGAGAAAAAAATCATTTCGATATCCAAATTTCCCAGTTATCATTTTTATTATATATACGTATTCAATAAAAAGGGTTTATCATGTAACTTTCAAATAAATTATGATGATGGGATATCGAGCTCAAATGGAAATTAATTGAAGTCAATCAAAAGGATGGATTACGAGGATGGAACGTGTTACTTCTAACTTTAATATTACGAGGAGATAGCAATCTCAAATGGAGATCAAAAGTCAATTAAGTATGCGAAAAGAGTAACTCCTATATTAAATATGATGAAGGGATATCGCGCTCAAATTGAGATCAGGAGCAAATCAGACGCCTTAACGGCTTCCCGCTCTCAATTGGCTGGTCGGCAATTGCAGCTAACTGTCTAATTGCGTTCAGTAAAGCGAGATAACGCAGCGGCTGCAACGAATCGATAGAGGCTTTACCTTGAGCAAAACTATGATGCGTCATAGATGGTACTTCTATGATACGTCATAGATGATACTTCTATGATACGTCATAGATGATGCTGCGATAATACGTCATAGATGATACGTCTTATGCACATTATTCTGCATGCACATTATTCAACGTTTTTTCGCGAGAAATGAGATGCTTAGTCAAGAACGCTGCAACGTACCCAATACGTTCACAATATTCGTATTCGTTGTATGTTTAGGCTCGTTTCCATGGGATACGTTAGTGGTTAAAATATCGATTACCATTATTTTAATGGAGCTATTATCTCTAATTTGAGTCATGCCAGCCACATCAAACTTCTTCACAATCTAGCTTGCTTAGAAGCAGCCCAGAATGGACGAATGACCAGAAAGATCCACGTAAATCATACGTCTCTTTCTGAGTCGTCGGAAGAAACGATCTTGGTTCTCAACCCAGGACGACGCGATTAGTAAATTGCACTTCTTTCATTATATTCAATAGTTAATAAAGGGTAGATCAGCTTGGATAGATTTCTAAAGGCAACTTTAATTGTCTGGAATTATAAAGTGAACATTTTGGATTGAGCTCTCAAAGCCAACGCTCAAAGGTCTCGTTCTTGATTTTCTCCGCTTGCAAGAATCACAGAAAAAATAAAGTTCAATTAATTAATTGCCTCCGATCATTTACTAAGAAAAAATACTAAGAGAACTTCCAACCCGTAGAGGCTAAATAATTCAAGTAATTTATTTGAAATAACTAACTAAAATTAAATCAGGCATCATAAAATTAGAGGACTATCATGGACTTCAGTGACCAATGTACTAACAGGGTCTCATAAACCAATCTATCATGAGGTCTCAGTAGAAAATTAACGATATGGTCCGATAATCTGTTGAGGCCTTAACAGCCTACCGATCATGAGTCTTTTCAGTCTGCTGATCAAAAGCCTTTCTAGTCTGGCGATCAAAAGCCTCTTTAGCCTGCTACTCAAAAGCCTCTTTAGCCTGTTACTCAAAAGCCTCTTTAGCCTGCTGATCAAAAGCCCCTCTAGTCTGCTGATCGAAAGCCTTTCTAGTCTGGCGATCAAAAGCCTCTTTATCCTGCTACTCAAAAACCTCTTTAACCTGTAGATAAAAAGGCTCTCTAGTTTACCGATCAAAAGCCTCTTTAGCCTGCTACTCAAAAACCTCTTTAACCTGCAGATCAAAGGTCTCTCTAATTTGCTTATCAAAAGCCTCTTTATCCTGCAACTCAAAATCCTCTTTAACCTGCAGATAAAAAGGCTCTCTAGTTTACTGATCAAAAGCCTCTTTAGAAAGCAGATTAAAAGCCTCTTACCCTGTCGATCAAAAGCCTCTTAAGCAAGCTAATCAGAAGCCTCTTTACTTTTGTAGTAATGAGCTTATAACGCTTGCTGATCAAAGTCCTCTTTAGCCAATATATCGAAAGCCTCCTTAGCCACTATATTTTTTCCCTTGATTGCCTTTATTTCATATCTTGAGCCTCCGTATAGCCAGTGGATTGTGATGTTCTTTAGCCAGCATACTAGTCGCGCAACATGCGAGTTTTTCAGCCAGCAGCTTCTGAGTCTCTTTAATTAACCAGAAAATGGACAGCCTTGATAATCAGCAGATTGTGAGTCTCCATAGCAATATAGTTTTAACCTCTGTTTAACTACCAGACTGTTTAGACACTGTTTAGCCCCCAGACTGTTTAGCCAGCAGTTAGAAAACATATTTAGCTCGCATATTTTGAGCCTCTTTACTCAGCACATTTTGAGCCTTTTTCAACAACAAGATGGTCTCATTTCAAGCTCGTCGACCTCCATTAGAACTCAAGCCACGAAAATGGCGTCTTTTCCTCCCAAGTGAATAAATTACTAACTTGGCGGGCAATTACACGGCGCTAAACTTGCACTTTTACACGCCAAAGTTCTCACTTTTACGGCTGCTTCTGACAAAAGTTTATTAGCGCATAATTTTTGCAGGTGCATTCAATAGTAACCACTTCCGTGTAGGTCGAAATTTTGCTTTAAAAAAAATAACTAAAATTTTGGGCGAATATATCTTTCCTGTTCTTTGCGATTTAGCAATAATGTTACTCAGAAGCTTAGCACTAACTTATTATATCAGTAAGCCCAGTTGTTGAAAATCTACAATTTTTGCAACGATTCTTGACATTAAGGTTGAGCATGAGTATTCTAATTGTGTTCTCAACAACGTGTTTCGATGAATTTGTCTTTTAATGATTTATAAACGGAAAATCTAGTTGAGTGAAACATTCCGGTCTAATATTGTGAAAAGTGCGGCACCAATATGCGAGCAAGCCATTTTAAATGCAATTCCCAGTCCATCGAGCTCGAGTTAGCCCTGGCAAAAGTGGACTCGCTTTTGAGATAAATTTGTTCCGGTCCACCGTTTGCCAAAGAGGAGCACTCTAAATCAATAACGTATTTGACAGATGTGTCGCCATGAGAAGGATTGCTTTCTGTCATTGTACAAGTAATCCATTACAGAAACACAGAATCTTATTGAATCCGAACATTTTTCGGAATTGAAAACAATTCGAAGTTTTCAAACTACTAGGCTTTTTATACGGGCATACCAGTAAGTTACGCATTAGAAAAAGCACGTGTGATATCAAGTAAAAGCCTAAAATACAATGTTATACATTTACCGTTAATATTTATGAACTGAAGAACGAGGTTTGAAAAGAGACAAAGTTTGTTTTAAACAATAAAATATGTGGCATTTTAAAAGACAATTTATTTGCAATCGTCCTATCATGAAACTGATCCAATGTATAAAAACAACGTTTGAAGAGAAGAATGTTCCAGCTGGCCGATTGTTGCATAGTGAACACAAGCGAAGCATTGCCTCGTAATGGAGTCAAATTGAGTTAAACGGACACGCTAGGATTTCACGGCCATTACGACTGCATTTTACAACCTAGCGCTCGCAAGGGGGAACATTTTCCGTGCGTAAAATGCTCGCTGATTTGCCTTTAGAACGCGCCTCGAATACGACTGAGGCCTTTATACGAAACAACGACCAACGAAGACTTATTGCCGAGCTATTCATACTCCGCGGATAAATTAATGGTAGAGGCTGAAAATTGTGAAAACATGGCATAAGAAATTAATTTTTACCAAACCCTAACTTTTAACAAGCCTCTTCAATTTACCTGCTTGCACCATTTCTGAGCATCATGGACGCTGTTGCATTTCATAGGTCAGCAAAATGTCGGCATGTCTGTGTTCATAAATCCTCCATAAAAATAGCTTCAATTAACATTGTTCACTATTTAGAGACAGTAATATTATAAAATATTATTTAGAAGTTGCTACAGCAGAGGCCGGCGTAGCTTTTACAGCGGTCACAGCAGCTACGAGAGACGCAGCGTAATGGAATCGTTTGAAACTCGCGGCACCGCAGCACCTCCCTGTGATCCCTGCGGGCGCGCTAATAGCCTACGCTGGTCTGCAGTCTGCTCTGAACGTAGGTCTTCATGCCAATTTGCATGCTGGTCTACAGTCTGCTCTGAACATAGGTCTTCATGCCAATTTGCACGCTGGTCTGCAGTCTGGTCTGAACGTAGGTCTTCATCCCAATTTGCACGCTGGTCTGCAGTCTGGTCTGAACGTAGGTCTTCATGCCAATTTGCATGCTGGTCTGCAGTCTGCTCAAAACGTAGGTCTTCATTCCAATTTGCATGCTGGTCTGCAGTCTGCTCTGAACGTAGGGCTTCATGCCAATTTGCACGCTGGTCTGTAGTCTGGTCTGAACGTAGGTCTTCATGCCAATTTGCATGCTGGTCTGCAGTCTGGTCTGAACGTAGGTCTTCATGCCAATTTGCATGCTGGTCTGTAGTCTGGTCTGAACGTAGGTC